GGAAATTCTGGTAGTATATAGGAAGAAGAACTTTCTTAGTTTGTGTATTATATAAAGGAACTTTATGACAAAGTAGAACATATTGAAATCACAGAACCATTTCTCAATAAAAAGAAAATCAAAATTTGGAGTATCTATTAAATCGTCCTTTTTTTAATATTATAATGAGGAAATCAATAAAATTTGAAAAGAAACATCAAAAAAAGATAAATAACAGATATACCCAGAATTTGATTTTCTTCATATTGAGAATTGAACACCTTAGTTTCTTCAATGAATTTTACTTCTATTATAGAGTTTATTTTCAATATTTAAGAATTAAAATTAAAACATCAAAATATAAATTAAAACAAAAAAGAAAAAATTAAAAGAAAAATAATAATATTTATAAAAAAGATTCATTATTTGAACATTAATATGATAAAGAACAAAATAACATAATATTGAATTTAAATTCGAAAAAGAAAAGTAGTATTGACGGAATTTATGATATATGTTGAGTTAGAGTCGATGTTTATTACTTAAACTTAAAAACTTCAAAATGTAATTAATCATTTCATGTCTCTTCCAAATATTTATCCAGAGCATTATACTATTAATACAAATTCTCCTTATTATAGAGAATTAATTCCTAAACCAATGTTTGATGCAATATTTGAAAAAGCTAAAGTGATGGCAATTGGATTTTTATGTCAAATGGATCCTTCACATGCAGATTTATATAAAACACAATTTCCATTAATATTTCCAGAACTTGAAGCACCATTTTTTAAACAAGGACTATACGAAATGTTTGCAGGATGTTTAGATCCAGAGTCTGTTAATTTTAAATTTGTAATGAAAAGTGTTGTAGCTAAAATAGTTTGTTATGGACGTTATTGTATGGAAAGAAACCTTTATCAAGAAGAATTAAATAAAATTCAAATTAAAAAACCAATTTATATTGTTGCACTTCCAAGGAGTGGATCAACATTTACACACACTGTTCTTGGATGTGATCCTAAATCAAAGAAGGTATTATTTTATGAACACCTTGCACCAGGAAGTCATACAATGACTAAAGAAGCTCGTTTAAAGATTTCTGAAATGATTATTGGACAAGTTACAAGTGAAGGAAAAGATTTAAATAAATGTCATAATATGGATAATATGATGGTTCCAGAAGAAGAATTATTCTTTATGGAAGGATTAGCTCATTCATACATTTTTAGTACTTCTCTTCCAAGATGGGAACAATTTAGAAAATCTGCTTTTGAAAAAGATTATTCTAAAGTTTATGAAGCAGTTCTTGGAGAAATGAAAATGTCTGCTATTGAATATCCTATTCCTGAACATGGTTATTATTTAATGAAATGTGTTTCTCATTTTATGACTATGGTACCATTTTTTAATATTATGTGTGCTGATGATATTGAACCAAGAATTGTTTGGATTCATAGAGAACCTGTTGATGAATATAAATCTGCTTTTTATTTAATGTTGAATGGAAGACAAAAATATCTTGGAGATCTTGGATTAGATGATTATAAATGGTTACAAGAAAGTATTTTAAAGATGAATGAAATCGTTTTGAAAATGCTATTGCTACAAGGGAAAAATGGATCGCTGAAAAACCTGAAAGAGCAAAACAAATTTGTGATATTGGTTTTAGAGAAATGATTGCTGATCCTATTAAAGTCAGTCAAAGAATTTATGATCAATTTGGATTAGAACTAACTCAGGAAATGAAAGATTCTATGTTGAATATTAAAAAAGAAGGTGATCCTCAAAAAGAACATGGTAGAAAAGAAAAAAGAGATGAAGATTTCTTTATTCCTGATGATGAAGTTAGAGAACGATTTAAATGGTATTATGAAAAGTTTGGACAATTTATGCCAAATTATTGGGGAGTCAATTAATTTCTTTTTTTTAAATGTAGTTTGAATTATTTCAAAATAGTTTTTGAATTGAATATCATTATTTGTTGCTCATTTTTTATTATTATTTTATTTGATAAAAATTTTTCTAACAATTTGATAATTTATCTTTTTTTTTATTACAAAAGGTTTTAACAATCTACTTAATGGTATCGAACTGAAAGAGCCTAACACCTTAACAAATAATTAGAAATAGAGTAGTAAATAACTTACATTAAAATTACTTAACAATAGATTATTACTAAATTTTAAATGTTCAATTAAGTAAAATTTTAAATTTTATTTATAAGCTAAAAAAAATAAAATGAGAAGAATACGATTGTATGACTATGATTTATTGTTTTATAATACTCTAAATTGACAATAAACAAAATAAAAAAAAAGTATTTGTTGAACAAAATTATCCAAAGAAAATAAAACAATAACTCAAATAAAAATGATAGAATCTAATTTTTAGGTTCTCAATATTTTTAATTTTAATATAATTTAACAATCTAATTACGAATTGGAATAACAAAATAATTTCTTTTTAAAAATATTCAATTTAGTCAGATTTAAAAATGTTTAAATAAAAATATTAAAACACACAAGATTCTATTATTGTTTATAATCATTAAAATTAGTTTTTAAAAAAGAAGGTGTTGCTATCAATAAGTAAGAAAAAATAAATGACAGTTCTAATAAGTTAAAGAGAGTGAATGATTATTTTTAAAGAGTAGTTTAACAAAAAAGATTAATTGAGAATAAATAAAACAATAATAAAAGAATATATCCAAAAAAAAAATAAAGAGAAAAAAAGAAGAAAAAAAAACAAAACCCTGAAAACAAAAAAAAAACTCATTAAAAAAGAGAAGAATTATAAAGTTTGTTTGATATATAAATTAATAAAAAAGAAAAAAGGGTGAAGAAATTACTAATAGATGAATTATTGGTCAGGAATGTTTAACTTTTTATCGTTAGAATCACCGATAGACACAATATTAAAAGAAGAAGGATGTGCATTGGAAAAGTTGCTTGACGTTGAAGATTTTATTCAAGAAATACGTACAAATGAAGAATTAATTAATTTTTGTTGTGAAAAGAATAATTTAAAAAAAATTGTTCAATATGCATTAGGAGATATACCAAAAGGATCTACATTTGAAAACACACAAAAATATGGAAGTATTTGTGCATCATTATTTGGAGACGAACCAACTCGATTAGTTAAATCAATAGGAAAATCCGAAGAAATGATAAATTATTTATTTAATACAATAATGAAAGAAGAAATAACAAAGGTAAGAGCTGCATCACAAATACTATTATCAATGTATAAAGATAATACTTCAATAATGTTTGATATGTTAATTAATAATGAAGAAGTATTAGAAAAAATGATCAACCATCCAGAGATAGATGGATTAATTGATAATATATTAGAATTAATGAAATTAGAAGATTCAGGAAAAACAGGATATATTGACAAGATATGTAATCATCAATTTATTAATAAAATTATGACAATATTTATGACTACACAATCAGTTAGTGCTATTGAAAATATATCATTGTTTATTCATTCTATTGTATTATGGAAAGTTTCTAATACTGATTCTGATACTATTGAATTTATTAATAAATTCAATAATGATGTCCTTCTCCCACAATTTATTGATTTCATATTTAATTCTCAAGATGATTTCGTTGTTTCTCATGCATTTCATATTGTAAGTAATATTCTTGCATGTTCTACGATTATAACGTATAGTGATGAAACTCATTTACCAGGTATTTTTAATGCATTATTTCCTCATGTAAAAGACTTTGAAAATATTATGAAATCAAGAAGAGTTGGAAGTGTCACTAATAATTTAATTTATATTATTTTATCAATGGTATTAAGTGGATTTCACCATGTTTATGATGTTATTGCTAATGAAAATGTATTAGGAGCAATGATGGATGTATTTTATGGAGATCATTTATGTACAGTTGTAAGACAAACTATTCAAATGACTGTATTATCTATATTAAACACTAGTGTTGAAAAATTAAAATTAAAATTAATTGATGATGGTAAGCTGCTTGATATAATGAAACAGAAAGACATCGACGCAGTAGAAATAAAAAAGAATAAAAACATTGCACCAGATTATTGGTTAATTGGTTCTCTTTTAATGGTCGCACTCGTTAATAGTGTAGAAGGTAGAGATGATGAAAATACTGTAAAACAAATAGTTATGGGAAATAAAGATTTTATTGATTATGTCCATTCCATTGTTATGGAAAGAGAGACAGAAAAGTCTGAATACTTCAGTAAACCAACAAATGGTGATTTCTCTGATGAGTTTGAAGAAGAAGAAGATGATGATTATTTTGATGACTCAAATGAAGAAGAAGACGACCATGAAAATGGAGAAGATTTTGATGATCAGGAAGACGATTTTGAACTTAGCTCATCATCAGAGGAAGAAGAGGAAGAACCAGAAGAAATTGAAGAAGAAGAAATTGAAGAAGAAGAAGAAAAGTAAATAATTCAATATAATAGAACTTTAAAAATTAAAAATTTTTTTTAAAAAGTCAAAATAAAATAATAAATAAACAAAACGAATTTTTGATTAAAATGATTAGAAAAGGTAACATTTAGATTTTTTTTGTTGTTTTTTATTTTCAATTGGGACAGTATCAGTATCATCTACTACACACGTTTCAGCCACTTCGAGGGCCATACACTTTAGTGCTTCTTTACATCCATCACCAGTTTTTGCTGAACAAATAAAATAATTTTTATATGACTTATCATTAACAAATTCATCTACATCTTCTTTTGACGTTTTAATGTCATTAAGATCACTTTTATTTCCAATAAGAACAACAACACATTTTGGAGAAGCGTAATAAGTAATATCCCTTGCCCAATTTGTAAGATTTTTAAATGACTCTTCATCACTAAGGTCAAATACTAAAAAGATACCACATGACTTTCTATAAAATGAAGAAGTTAAAATCCTAAATCTTTCTTGACCTGCTGTATCATTAATTTCTAATTTAATATTTTTCATTTTACTACACTCAGGAATATCAACATCAATTGTTTTAAATGTCGTTGAAGTAGAGGGCTCTTGTTCATCAAATTTATCTTCTGTGAAACGGGTTAATAAACAAGTTTTACCCACACCAGCTTCACCAATGACTAATATTTTATAATTAGTTGTTGAAGAATTTTTACTAACAACCATGAGTTACTTTATTTTCGTTAAAAAAAAGTATAAAATAAACAAATAAAACATACTCGTATTCCATAAATTCCTTTTATTATTTGAGAACTTAGAT